AATGTTCGCATTGGCCCACTTCATGATCAATGAATCGTGTTTTTTTATAAACATATCGCTACCGCTGTCGTTTATACAAACATACTTGCATAGCTAGATTTTATATACAATTAATAAAATTGTATTTAAATCTCAGTGTGGTTGATCGTTGTTGTTTCTTTTTTGTTTTTGCTTAATAGCTTTCGTTTAGAAAATAAACATCATAGCAATAACTGTAGAATATTGTTTTAAAAAAGCTTGTTTTTTGCTGACTACAGATTAATTTAAGAGAATAGCGGATTTATGAATGGAGGGGATGATCACGAAAAAAAAAAACACCAACTAATGATTCATGTTTCGTTCGGATGTGATGTCATTTTTTCATTCGTCAAAATGACGTTTTAAAAAACCTCATTCAGTTGCGGATGAGGGTTGTTTTTGTGTTTATATTTTCTGTATGTTAGGTCAGGTTTTTTTTTGTGAGTTTGGGGGGGGGGGTGGCCTATTCAGGCAAATATCAGTTCGAATAAAATGATATCGTGGAGCAGAAATACAACAGATCAGTGTCTCTCAGAGGTGAAACTGTGTATCAATAGCATTTTTTCTCTTTATATTGCGGAAGCAGAACCTAGGTGATTCGATAGCATAAACCAGAAATCTTAAAAAATTAAGTAAAAAGTAGCCCTTAAAAACTATATATAAAATTCAATAATTATTAATACATTAATTTTCGCACTCTCTCTCTCTCCTTAAAATATGAATCACAAATGAACTCATTTTCAATAAATAATAGCAAACAACATAAATATTTTTATGCAGATAACACAGAAAAGTAAACAAACAAAAATAAATTAAACAAAATGTATCAGATGAGTGGAAAACTTGTGCCACTTTACTTGAGTGTGTACACACAACTCAAGTAAAAATAACAAAATAATAATAAATTTAAAAAAAATTATTATACAATTATTTATTATCACATTTGAAGAAGACGCCACTGCCGGAGAAGAAGCGGAGGAAAATTGTGAAAACAAATATCGTTCACTTAACACAAATACGAGAGCATTTACAAACAATTTGGATAATATGTGCTAATTGAAAATAAGTATTATGGCCACTGCTCTGATTTGAGCTTGACCTTGAAAATGGTCAGATTTTGGCAGGCGTCAAGTTTAAAATTCAACTTGTTGTGATTGCATTCGAAGTGATAAAGATGAAATCATTTTTTAAAACGCAAGCCTGGTTTCAAGATATCTGCCTATGCCGTAAATATTAATATCCGTTTGACTGCACCATTCATATCTGGGTTTGAGGAATCTTCAGGCAAAATCAAATGTTTTTGTGAAACTTTTTTTTTTGTTTTTTAATACAACCTTCTATAACTGTATTTTAGGAATACCTGCACTAACAAATTTAAAGATTTGTTTCAATTTGTAAAAAAAATTGAAGCCCACTTTTCTGCCGAAAATTTTGTTTTGCTTCATTTTATTTGCTTTCATATTCATTGCACGGTGTTGTTGTTCTGGAAATGGGTAAAAATGTGCGAACTGTACTAAATGGTCGCTGATAATGTGTACGAAGGGAGGGATGTGAATAATATAGCTAAAATCATCAAAATACCGAATATAGGGAGGTACTGATATATGGTGCCTATTCGAAGACCTGAACCTGCATAGAAAATTTTCTGTCACAGGCTGTAGTACTCATTAAGAATTCTAAATACGAAATTTAAACAACAAAATGTCCCTAAAATCGTCAAAATATCGAATATCAGGGGGTACCGTTTTATGGGGGCTATACGATATCGTGGACCTATATAGACAATTCTCTCCTAGGGAGGTAAAGTACTCACAAAAAAACTTCTTGCGTAGAATTTCAGACAATTCCATTGAAAAATGTGACTAAAATCATCAAAATACCGAATGTCGGGGGGGCTACCGTTATATGGATAATATAAAATATTGTGGACCTATAAGGACAATCCACTTTCATGGAGAAAAGTACTCACAAAGAACTTCTTGTGTAGAATTTCAGGTAATTTCATTAAAATTTTTTCCCTGAAATCGTGAAAATACCGAATATTGGAAGGTACCGTTATATGGGGGCTATACAATATCGTGGACATTCGGGCATTTCTCTTCTAGGAGTTAAAATACTCAAGAAAATCATTGTGTGGATTTTCGGAAAATTTCATTGAAAAATTTGGTTACAATCATCAAAATACGGAATATCGGTAGGTACCGTTATATGGGGGATATACGATATCGTGAACCGATATAGGCAATCTTTGAACTTGGCCTGCCTGCAGACAAAAGACAGATCTGTGGAAAATTTTAGCTTCATATCTTAATTCGTTTTGACTCTAGCGTGATTACAACAGACGTACGGACGAACAGGGCTGCATCGTCTTCGAATTTAACTATGGTCCAAAATATATATACTTTTTGGGTCTAAATATATTATTTTGATGAGTTACAAAAGGAATGACGAACTTAATATACCCTCCATATTATGTATGGTGGAGGGTATAAAAATTTAAAATTTGATGTTTAATTACTGATGGTATCTGTGTTTGAAATGTGTCCTATATTTGTACGAAAAGTGCTAAATAGTTCCGAATTTGTTATTGGGCAAAGGGATAGAGATGAAATCCTGAAAGTTGATATTAAGGTTTGTGTTGGTATATGGGATTTCTCAATTTCATGGAGATGGTTTCGTAAATGTGTACTATATTCGTTTTAAAAGTATTATGTAGTTGGTATCTGGAATTGAGATGGAGGTGGTTTTGGGAATGTGTACTATAATTGTACAAAAAGTACTAAATGGTACTAAATTTGGATCACAGTTGGTTGTTAGAGAGATGTAGATTGGTTTGTATATGAGTACTAAATGTTACTAAATTTGGTATTGTTCGGAGGGATAAAAGAAAAATGAACGATTTTTAAGACTTTTGGAGTAAAAGGTAAACATTTTCCTATTATTTTTTCCACGATGACCATCAATTGTGGATTCGTCGACGTTCGCAGTAATTGGGCCTCTGTTACTCAACAACGTCTGTTTGTGGAAGGATTTAGGTTAGAAGGCTTTCATAATACAACTGGAGTAGGAATTGAAGCCAAACGAATTTTTGGTAAATGAGTTCTTGAAGATCCATTTTTTTATCAAAAAATTGTGTTTCATTTTTTGGTTCTTTGTCAGAATTGCTAAGTTAAGATCAGACAGAAGCATTGCAAAAATTTGGTGCGGTTTATGGACTGTTGGCTTCATTGGACCGTACTTTTTCAAAGATGTTGCGAATAGTAACGTAATTGTGAATGGTGAGCGTTACTGTAAAATGGTATCCAAATTGTTTTTAGGAAATTCAAGAGTTTGGTTTACATGGTATGTGGATTCAAGAAGAAGGTGTCAATTTTTAATATTTTTTTCACAAATTCGTTCTGACCGAATATAGATATTTATGTATTTACAACGTCGTCTTGAAAAAATATCGTGAACAATATATGGTAAGCTTAAAAGGATATTACTTATAAGGATATTTTTACAACGTCGTCCTGAACAGATATTGTGCATTTTTAGGCATATCCGGATTGTGTAAAAATGATAGATTTTTTAAGAATATTTTTCCCAAACTCGTTCTGACCAATAATCGTGGATTTTTGAGAATTTGGCCATCTTGAACAGAAATGGAGGATCATAAAGAATTGGAGAATCGTTCTGACCAACTACTGCAAGTTTTTAAAAATATTTTTCACAAATTCATCCCAACCAAAGATCGTGGACCTTAATGAATACCATTTACAAGGTCATTCCGACCAAAAATTGTGTATTTCTAAGGTTAATTTTTACAAGGTCAACCCGACTAAATGCCGGAATATTAAGGATTAATAACAAGATCGTCCTGGCAAAAGATCGCTGGCCATGGTGATGGTGTGGAGCGCCATAACAGCCGTTGGTCGCTCTCCGCTCGTATTAATCGACCGTGGTATCAGAATAAATGCCGAATATTATCGCGAAAATATTCTGGAGGGTGTATTAAAGCCCTGGGCACGCAAATATTTTGGCCACAGACCTTGGACATTCCAAGAGGACTCAGCACCATCGCACTCACCACGAGCCACGCAAGAATGGTTACAAAATGAGGTTTCTCGCTTTATTTCCAGCGCACAATGGCCACCAAAATCTCCGGATACCAATCCGTTGGATTATTGTGTCTGGAGTATTGTGGAAAGCAAGGTTGGCACTAAAAAATACCAAAGTGTCGATCACCTCAAGCAAACACTTCGCCGGGAATTGGCCAAAATACCGTAAAGCAACATTCGGGCAGTGTGTGACGGTTTCATTGGCCGTAATTCGTGTCAAGGGTGACCAATTCGAACAAATCTAAATTGGTTCCAAAATTTGATGCTATTTCCGACATTTTTTGCTTTCATTCAATAAAATTAAAAAAAAAAAATTAAAAATTATGGCGTTTGACTTTGTTGCAGTTTTTTTATCTCACCCTGTATATAAATATGTGTGCAGTTTCTCAAAAGAGTTCCTGGATATATAAAAATTTTGGATTTATGTTTACAAGGTCGTTCTGACAAAGAATCGTGGAATTTCAATTATAGATCGTGAATTTTTAAGAATATTTAGAATCGTGACATTTTTAGGATCGTCTTGATGAAAAATTATGGATTTGTCAATGGTACGAATTAAAATATTTCATCACATATAGTTATTTATTAAATGTATTTAAATGGTTTATGGCTGAGGGAATATCTGCGTCAAAAAAACGAGTGCTAATTTCGAACCTTTTTTAATTTTGTTTTAAACTGTATTTCTATTTCCACATAAAATGAGCACAGTTTAAGGTTAACCGATATAATAAAAAAAACACAATTTAATTTTTTATTAATAAATAAAAATTGATTTTATTTCAAAAAATATTTCCCAGAATTGTTTCGAAAATTTATGTCTCAATTTTCATTATTATTCTAAAAATATATTTTTTTCTATTAAAAACAACAATCCGCACTTACCTTAATACATTTGGATGTGACAATTTGTTAAGCAGTTGTACTTCTCTCAGCATATTTGGTCGATTGGCGCGCAATTGATTCATTTTTAAAACCATAACTTCACCCGTCGAACGATGAGTGACCTAAAAAAAAACAAAAAATAGAAATAGAAAATGAAAAATACGAAAATGTGTTCGGAGATAATTAGACAACGAATTGCCAAATTGGAATACAAAAACAAATAATTATGAGTAATTGTTTTATGAAAAATCATTTTGAAAAGTAAAAAAAAAAAAAAACAACAACAAAAACGAGTGTAAACTTCACACCACCAGCAATTGCCAATGTCGAGGTCATGTTGAACACAATGAAATACAATGCTTGTTAAAAACAAATAGAGAAAAATAAAATAAAAAAAAAATAAATATAATTTATGTGAACAGTGGAGGGAATGGTTAGCAATACAACACCTGAATATTTTTTAACATAGAAATGTGCAGAATTGTTTTGGTTGCTGATAAAACAAAGCACCGAATATTTAGAAAACAGTGAAAAAAACACCCAAAAACCCAAACAACAATTGTTTTTTATTTTTAAAAATTCAACAAAAGATATTTGAAAAAATACAATTAGCTAATAATTCATGTCCAAAATAACAACAATTATGAGTTCACCAAATCCATTCATTCATTATTTGCTCGCTCGCTCGGTCACAGACAACAACAACAAATTGTTCAAATGACCACAGTCAGACTTCATAAGTGAAAGTGTTAATGACATTGAGGTGCTAGCCTGCCAGCCAGCCAGTCTCAGACAGCCGGCAATCTAGCCATCCACCTTGCCAAGGAGTAATATGCCATACTCTCAGATACAGTGGCATTCCAAACAATTGAAAAAAATTGGCGATGATTATCATCAATTTGTTTTTGGAAAGGAAAAACAAAAAATATAAATTAAGCTATAATTATAATAAGATTGATTATTTAGATAAGGCAGACAAATCTATATTTCCCGGCCAAAACCCCCTAATATTTTGTCATCACCGAATTCTTAAGAAGGTTTTGGGCGTGGTTCTCCAAAAAAGATGATAATGTTTATACCCTCAGCCAAATGGCTAGTTATACCATCAGCCATGTGGTTTGGGAGAGTACATATCATTTGATACGAGCCTCATTGAAATAACGTTGTAGACCCTAGGTCTCTTTGGACCAAATCCGTTTCAGGAGATTTGGAATCGATATTGCGATGACCGTCCGTCCAAGGTCTGGTGTGAAAATGGAATGTATCGGTCCACTCCTTTTGGTACCTCCCACACAAAATGTCAAAATTTTCAAAGAAAATAATTTATTGCACATAAAAGTAATTAAGTGCTCGGTCAGGTGCGAAAATTGACAATATCGGAACACTTCATCCCTACAAAGAGTCAATATTTGGAATAATAACAACTCTTATTAAATGCCATGTAAGAGTCCGATTGTCTTCAAATTTCACACATCCCAATATTTTTTAACCCAAGGTCTGGTGCTAAGATGGAATACATAGGTCCACTCCTTCTGGTAACTCCCCCACATAAGGTTGAACTTTTCTAGAAAATATTTATATATTCTGCACAGAAAGAGAAGCAATAATCTGATATTGTTTCAACTTCACAAATCCTAATATTTGGCTCAGTTCTCGGTCAGGTTCAAAAATAGATAATATCGGTCCACTCCATCAAGTGCTTCCCTACAAAGGGTAAACATTTTGAATAATTATAACTCTTATAAAATTTGATGTAAAAATCCAATTGTCTTAAAATTTCACACATCCCAATATGTTTATTAACCCAAGATCTGGTGCTAAGATCGAATATATCGGCCCACTCCTTCTGGTACCTCCCCCACAGAAGGTCGAAATTTTGAATATCCATTGAGCTCATAAAACGCGAAATTAATATCCGATTCCATTTAGACTTGGTACATCTGAATATTTCTATCAACACAGGATCTGTTATAAAAACAGTAAAGATCGGAATTTCTTCTGGTACCTTCCCCACATTGGGTTTAAGATTTTGAAAAACAAAACGCCCAATGAAAGCGAAATAAGCATCCAAATCTCTTCAAATTTCACAAATCTCTTCAAATTTCTGCTAACACAACATCTATTGTGAAGATGATATACAGGGTGAGATAAAAAAACTGCAACAAAATCAAACGCCATAATTTTTACATTTTTTTTTTTTTTAAATTTCTAGAACGAAAGCAAAAAATTTCAGAAATAGCATCAAATTTTAGATTAAGTTTAGATTTGTTCGAATTGGTCATCTTTGGCACGAATTAAGGCCTTCAAACGGCCAATTAAACCCTCACACGCTGCCCGCATGTTGCTCTGCGGTATTTTGGCCCATTCCCGGCGAAGCGCTTGCTTGAGTTGATCGACACTTTAGTATTTTTTAGTGCCAATCTTGCTTTTCAAAATACTTCAGACACATAGTCCAACGGATTGATATCCAGAGATTTTTGTGGCCATTGTGCGCTGGAAATGAAGCGAGGAACCTCATTTTGTAACCATACATGGGTGGCGCGTGTTGAGTGCGAAGGTGCTGAGTCCTGTTGGAATGTCCAAGGTCTGCGGCCAAAATATTTGCGTGCCCAGGGCTTTAATACACCCTCCAGAATATTTTCGCGATAATATTCGGCATTTATTCTAATGCCACGGTTGATTAATACGAGCGGAGAGAGACCATCGGCTGCTATGGCGGCCAACACCATCACCATGGCCAACCGAAAGTGCACATTTTCAGCTGACCCCTTTGGCAAGTAAACACGATCGTTTTGTTTGTTTACAAACTGCTGGAAAACGAATGTTTTCTTTTCGGATAAAACCAAATTCGGCAGTTCACCACTTTCGGCCAAGCGAAGCAACTCTTTAGCTCCTTGAGTCTATTTCCTTTCCGTTGCGATGTAAGTTCTTGCACTTTTTGGAATTTCAATGGCTTTACCTCGAGCTCATTTTTCAATATTTGCCGAATGGAATATTGCGATATGTTCAGCTCATGAACCCTGCGACGCGGGTTTCGATCAAGTAGCTTCTTTACTTTTCGAGCCATTTTTGCTGATGTTGCTGTTTTTTTCCGTCCACTTCTTTAACGTCGGGCTACGCTACCAGTATCACGGTAACAAGCGATGGTGCGAGACACAAAAGATTTATTCACATTTAAATGCTGGAGTGCTCGAAAGTCACACTATCACGCTTGAATTCCATCCCGAATAACTTTTTTTCTGAAAAATTCTCACCTAAATGCTTTTGTACGCTTGTAAACAATATGTTGATCTTTCACTGGAATAATTTTAACAGCTGTCGGATGAGACAGGAGTTTGAAGTTGGTTGCAAATGACAGCAGTCTGAAGTTGGTTGCAGTTGTTTCATCTCACCCTGTACAAATATTTGTGCTAACACAAGATCTGTTATGAAGATAACATATACCTGCGAACTCGTTCTGGTACCACACCCACAAAGGCTCGCCATTTTCAATACTATTATCTGTCATAACTTGCGAAAGAAGTCAGCGATTTTTCTAAAAATTATCACATATCTCATATAAAGTGAAGGAAGTAACTAATATTGTCCAAACCTGGCACGTCACAATATTTTATCATATGTATTTAGGTCCGATATGAAATGGACCATATTGGCCCATTTTTTTGGAACCTACTCCTTAGAGGGTCAATGATATGAATAATCATAATAGATGTCAAAATATATTTAAATAATCGAACATTGGCTGAGGGTAAACGTCTGCCGGCAAAATCGAGTTATACTTTTTAACTTTTAATAAAACATAAGTTTTGTAATTTTTCTGAGATTATTAAGTAGAACAGTTTATATGAAACGGCACACCTTCACAAAATTAATTACACATTAACGGTGTTTTTAAAATTTTTCAAAATATAATTCCTTGAAATTCAAGTGAATGTATGAACATGAAATAAACATTACATTTTTAAAGCGAAAAAAATATGTATTCAGTCAATGGAATAATAAATTTTCGTTAAATGTTTAGACTTGTTGTCTGGACACGAACGAGTTACATGACACATACACAATGTTACAAACATGTGACTAAACAAACAATGAACATTGTGCAATAGTGAGTGCATCCATCCAGCCAGCCAATGAATTGGGGGTCAAGAGTTGCAAAAAAAAAAAAATAAAATAAAAAAAACTATAAAAATCAGTAACAAAAACTGAAAATGACCTTAGGCTGAAATCATAAATATTTTGGTGGTCATAATGGATATATGACTATGTTTTTCACTGGAATAACAAACACACCTATATTTCGTCGGACATTGTTTGTTTTGATGATGACAACATTCACTTGTATGCAATTTTGTTAAAAAAAAACTATGAGAAAAAACTCCACTTGAACTTTCTAATAAATAAACTTTTTGTGTGAAAAATGTTTGTTATATTTTTTAATATAAAAAATTAAAAAAAACAAAGATTTTTAACGAAATAACAATGGCCTGATGTAATGTAATATCATATTCCATATGGATCCAGCATGCATTCAAATTTTAGAGGAGGAGAGTCTGATGTGGCAAATGACGATGTCGTGATTGTATGATAGTGGTTAATAGCAAAGCGATTTTACAGTCTACTGAACAATTATCCATTTCTCGCATTGAGTAAAATATACACTGTAAGAAAATATTCGTTGCAAAAATGTTTAAGTTAGACGTGCTAACTTATAATATTGACCATTGGAATACTTTAATTGTAGCCAAATTTATTGAAAATTTTGGGTTTCTGCTGTTTGAGAAATAAAGAGAAATCTGACTGAACCACAGGCTATTTCGTAAAAACAAGTAAAAAAGAAGCCAAGTTAGGCGGAGCCGAACTTTTTATACCCTCCAACATTCCGAAGGAACTTGAAAATTTAAAAAAAATCTGTCGAAAAATACAGCCCAAGTAAAAACCTTTATATGGGAGCTAAACTAAGACGTGGTGCTGGATAAGTAATCCGTCATAGGCTGTAGTATCGATTCCGAACTTCAAATACGAAATTCGAAACAATTCCGGTGAATAGTGTCTCTAATATCATCAAAATACCGCATAATGGAAGGTACTGGGCTATACTAAAACATGGACCCGCATAGCA